GATAATCTGCCAAATTTCGTTAACATACGATTACTAATTTAAAAGTTATAACATGAAAACTATAACAAGCACAAAATGGTTACGAGGCCGATCCGACGGACTGAACCCGTGCTGAAAGGGTTAATTAAATAGAATGACAGTTCAAGATGTATAAACACAATAAAATGATTTTTCAGTAGGTACAAGTTGTTTAAACTACATGTTTCAGTGGGGGTACTTTCTCAACATCGTCAGGATTTAATCAAGAAACAATTGTTACATTCCAGAAATTCGTGATTATATAGATGCAGTTTGTAATAACAAATGTTACATTTCAAAGCTCGTGAATCTATGTAAAATTTGTAATAACTTGCAGGAATACCTACAATATCAATAATGGAATACTATCATATATGAAACCTCGCGCGCATATAGCCCTCGTGTAGCTTTGCGCGAAATTCAAAACAATGAAACCTCGTCTTTTTCTTTCGATTTGTCCTCGTTCAGGGCTACTGACGATGGGTGGGGTTTCCCGAAACCGGTATAACTTAGTGACAAGTAATAAATCGACTGAATAATGGGCAAAAATAAAATTAGTAGCAACAATGCTACATATTCTTGAAATTCCTTTAAAATATATAGGGTATCTGTTTGATTGAAAGACATCACAAAACACAAACACGGAATAAAGTACAGATTATTATAAGATCATTTTTCAAATTTCTGTGATGCATATTTGCGTATAGAAGACATATTAATACTAGAGATAATGTTGTTTTTATTTAATTTGAAGCTTTGTACTGTCAGTTTCGGTTTGTGTTTTAGTGAACGCTCCTGAAGAAGCTGTAAAGCGGGACACTGAGTGTCTAATTAAATAAAAACAACATTTTGGTGTTATAATATCATTTATTTCTAGTATTTATAAAATAATTTTCCCAAAATAAGTTTCCTTATACCTGTCTTCTAGTTTTGGAACGGCATGCCCTAAGGATAGCGTTAAACATTAAACTTCCTATTCTTACAAAGGAGTTCTATAATATAATCAGTTTTCCTCATACACCTT